TAATAAGAAACATGTGATTCTTCTAGCAACCTGAGTTCAGTCATAGTGTCTACTGTGTTTGCTTATAAGCCACTGGCCAAAAAAAGTCATGTCATCAATTGGGTGGGTTTCTAACTCTTCCACTGGAAGCACCATAATCCACAGGTCAATGAGCAGTAACATATAACCTCTTTAAGGGAGGAGAGATAGATATTTGTGAAAAACTATACACAGGCATTGAGAAATATAGTAAGAAAGTCATAGAGGGAGATAAGAAAAAAAATTCCTAATATTTAGGATTATTGGTACCACAGAGGAACCTACCAAAAATATCTTTCAACTAATTATTGAAACAAAAGTGTATGAACCGGAAGAAAGGAAATGTGAGGGAGAAGTTTTCAAAGAGCAAAAAATAAAAGAAAGAGCAGAGCTTCTTCCAGACCCAAGATTTTATAAGGGAGAAATGAAATGTCCATAAATAGTTGCCTGGAGGCTTCTTTCAGGATTCCAGTGTACTTGAGGAGGAAGGAGACAAGTAAAGAAGGTCCAAGATAAAATCCAAATCAGTTTAGGGTAAAAATCAGTATCAATTAAGAGAGAGGGTTTTCAACATAAGTTGAGGAAAAGGTCATAGAACAAGTCAAATTTGTAACTGAAGAAAGAAAAGATAACATGGATAAAGCTACTGCTTTTATTTTATTATTATTTTTTGGACCCTTCAACTTTTCATTGCAATGTCCTCAAGAGGTTTTACAGGAGATAACTAATAGGGGGATACTTTTAAGGAGAGTTCAAAATTTAAAAGGAGCCAGTCACCAGTAAGCAGCACAAGAGTCAATAAGACTGGAGGAGAATGATTTTTTTCTGGCTGAGGTAAAAGCAGAATGTGAGAGCAAAGCACAGACGAACTGGTGGCATCAGTCAATGCATTCCCTTGACAGGGTCCAACTGCATCTTCCTGAAGAGGAATAAATCAATGGTTGATTTTTGTGAACACTGTTATTTTGAAGAAAAGTGGTGCCAGGAATTCTAAGGTTTGAGAATTGGTAACCATAAAGGGAAAATGTGACTAATTAGAAGAAGTGGAGATAAAGCAGTGTTCGGGTAAAGGGCAGATTAGGATCTGTAGTCGATTCTGTTACAGGAAATTGGGATGTGGAAGGAGAATGATTTGCCTTTGGGAGGCTCAGTGTGATGCAGACAGAACAGAAAACCACCTACGTGATTGATCTGAGTGGCACAAAAGAACACAATCCCTTGTTATCTACTTGTGAACTCTGACATAATAGGAACAGACATGCAGAACTGAATATCCCAGTCTGAGTGCACACCATGATGGACTTGAAGATTCGAACTTTGTTAACTGAACACGCTCATACCCAAATAAAGCCTCCTTCAAAACACATATAGTCATGTATAAACATTCACTGATAAACTAGTATGGAAACAGATTAGAACACGTATTAAATATATGAAGGTAGAAGTTACAATAACAAAGTAGTTAATAAGGGGAGAACATGTTATGTCTGTCAAATAACACTTACTTTTTTAAAAAATATTTTATTTAAAGAGAAAGAGAGAGAGAGCTTGAGCAGGGCAACAGCAGGTGGAGAGAGAAGCAGGCTCCCCATGGAGCAAGGAGCCTGATGTGGGGCTCTTTCTCAGGATCCTGGGATCATGACCTGAACCCAAGGCAGATGCTTAACCAATGGAGCCACACAGGTGCCCCAATACTTCCTTTTAAATATCATACTTGAGTTACTGTTTTAGTGTAAAAATATGTGCATAATTTGACACTGACATATTCATATATAAAACATATAACAGTAAAAATTTATATATTGCCTCCAAAACTCGACATGTAAGAACTAATAATTCCCATTTTCATGAAAGAATACTCAGGACAATGACTTGTCTGTAACGAAATACACTTTTATATGCCACCATAAACTATTTTGGAAATAAGGCACAGTAAAGAGTTGTTAATAGTTAAATTCAACAGTGTAAGTTATCTTTGTTTACTATATATAATAGAAAGAAATAGCTTAGAGATGTTTATTGGTAATAGAAATACATGGAGATACATATATAGATACACACCTCTATTTTAAACCTATTCTTCATGCACTGAAATCTGCCCCCTGTGTTGAAGGTCAAACCTCTGGACTATAGTACTCATAATAAATACCAGACTCTTTACTTCTAAAAAAGAAATCTTCTCCTCTGAAGCCCTGGCCCTTTGGTCTCCTCCATTAGCATGTGTAATTTCTACCAGACTGCCTAATTTCTATGTCATACCATCTGGTCTATTCCATTATATTATCCACTAATCTCAATTAATTATAAACTTCGAGAAGGAGAGAAAATGATAACAGAGTTTTCATATTCTTTTCCTCTTTCAGCATGAACTTTGTGGTCAAACTACCTTTGCTGTAGGTAGTGAAAGACCGATGAACTTTTGTTTTTACTTATTTTTTGCTATTTTTTAAAAATCCAAGTAATTACCATAGAGTATATCATTAATTTCAGATGTAGTATTTAGTTATCAATTGCATATAACACCCAGTGCACATTACATCACATGCCCTCCTTAATGCCCATCATGCAGTTACCTCATCCCCTCACCCCCCCAACCCTGTCTCTTCAGCAACCTTCAGTTTGTTTCCTAAGATTAAGAGTCTCTTATGGTTTGTCTCCCTAATTTCATCTTGTTTTACTTTTCTCTCTCTTCCCCTATGATCCTCTGTTTTGTTTCTTAAATCCCACATATGAGTGAAGCCATAGGGTAATTGTCTTTCTCTGATTTACTTATTTCATTCAGCATAATACCCTCCAGTTCCATCCATGTTGTTGCAAATGATAAGATTTCTGGCTAAAGTTAACAAATCAGGAAACAGCAAATGTTGGCGAAGATGTGGAGAAAGGGGAACTCTCATACACTGTTGGTGGGAATGCAAGCTGGTGCAGACACTCTGGAAAACAGTGTGGAGGTTCCTCAAAAAGTTAAAAAATAAAGCTACCCTATAGCCCAATGACTGAACTACTAGGTATTTACCCAAAGGATACAAACATTGTGATCCAAAGGGGCACCTGCACCCCAATGTTTATAGCAGCAATGTCCACAATAGCCAAACTATGGAAAGAGCCCAGATGTCCATCAACAAATCAGTGGATAAAGAAGATGTGGTACATGTACACAGTGGAATATTACTCAGCCAAAGAACTCTTTCAGATCTATATGGGATTCCTAGTGCTCTCCAGTCTTCAAGAAACTGGAGAAATAGCTCATGGCAGGATGAAGATAGGAATCAGAAGAAGACACAAATTTATTTCTCCATCCTTCCCGACTTACAGGAAACATGTGGCTAACTCCTCAGCTTTATATTTTGCCTATTCTAAAAAGAACAAATGACATTCTGCTTATAGAATCCTGTCATTATAGTTATCAATAATTTGTTATTTTATTTTACTTTATTTTTTAGAGGGGTAGGGGCAGCGGGAGAGGGACATAGAGAATCTTAAGCAGGTTCAACACTAAGCATGGAGCCTGATAAGGGCTCGATCTCACAACCCTGATATCATAACCCAAGCTAAAATCAAAAGTTGGACGCTTAACCGACTGAGCCACATAGGCACCCCTAACTTGTTATTTTATTCTATTTTTTTTTAAGATTTTTTTTTTTATTTGACAGACAGAGATCATAAGTAGTCAGAGAGGCAGGCAGAGAGAGAGAGGAGGAAGCAGGCTCCCCACTGAGCAGAGAACCCAATGTGGGGCTCGATCCCAGGACCCTGGGATCATGACCTGAGCTGAAAGCAGAGGCTTTTAACGCACTGAGCCACCCAGGTGCCCCCTAACTTGTTATTTTAAAGCAGAAGAAAAAACTAAAAGAACATTTGTGTCGTGTCACTACCAGTATTTCCATATGTCTGAAACATAGGCTGCTCATGGCTGAATGTTAAGGAAGAGGGGCTGGTGATCATAAAAGGTTTCTTATGCCAAAAAAAGCATTTTTGACTTTGTCTTGAAGGTAATGGGAAGCACTGACAATTTTAAGTGTTGAAAGGTTGGATGGAGAAGAAGTAGAAATTATGGGGCGTCTGGGTGGCTCAGTGGTTTAAGCCTCTGCCTTTGGCTCAGGTCATGATCTCAGGGTCCTGGGATAGAGATCCGCATCGGGCTCTCTGCTCAGCAGGGAGCCTGCTTCCCCTTCTCTCTCTGCCTGCCTCTCTGTGAACTTGTGATCTCTCTGTCAAATGAACAAATAAAATCTTTAAAAAATAAATAAATAAAAGTAGAAATTATGAGCCTGAGAGTAGAGGAGACAATCTGTAGCAATTCAAGGGGGGAAAAAAAAATTTTTTTTTTTTTTTTTTTTTTTTTTTTTAATGAAAGGGCTTCACTCTTAAGGAGGGCATCATGGTAGAATATATTTAAGAGATGTTAAAAAAATGAGGTGACATGTCATTTACAGATTAGATTACCAAAATAGAGACAACTAGGATAACCTTAAAATATCTTCTGGCCTCACAGAATGTCATGTTAACACAGGCAGGAAATATAGCAGGAGAAGCCTAGTTTGGAAGAAGAGATGTCATCATGATGCCATAAACTTAGTTATTAATCTCCTTGTGGAAACAATTATTAACTTTAAATTTAAGAAAACCTACAAAATTGTTAAATAGATTCATTTAAACAACATGGGAGTCATGCAATTTAAAAGTAAAATCTAGTATGATACTTAACTATGTTTCACTTGGCATTCTTTCAACAACTACAAAGCCAACAAAAGGCAATGATTCTCTTATAAGACTCTGTAAAAAAGATGATGGTGTTGCATAAGTCACGGATCCTGCCCTTGAGGTTACACACAATGTAATAGACGCTATCGCTGAGGTGAGGAGATTTCCTCCAGGTAGAGAAGAGGTATACTAGGAACGTCGTATTCACTGGCTGCCCTTTCAATAAATATATTGCTAACATGCCATAATAAAATAGGTACAAATTATTTGCTGCTTACCATTAACAATAACGATGATATCACGGAAGTCAATTTCTCCCCTAGCCTCCACTCTTCCTTCACATCTGTATATACCTTCATCACTTTTATTGATGTTGAGAATCTGCAGATTATTGTTGGCTAGCATAGCAAAGCGATCTGGAAAGTAAGCAAAGGGGAGGAAATGATATCAGTAATTGAAAGCAGAGTCCAGTGTGCTCTAAATTGCCAAGAGTTAAAATATGGCACTTGTCTGACACTATCAAACTTTTCATCAACAAACAAATTCGCATTTGAAAGTAAAATGTAATTTCATGGCTTCAATTTTTCCACTCCACACTGCCTTGTTACATCTTTTTTTTCTAAAACACATTCGAGACTTTATTTCCACATAAAATGGTCAGGCCATTATTTTCCCCTTGGTACTTTGAATGCAGAAATGATACACAAAAGAACAAGGTTGAGAGATTAGATATTGCAGACATGAAGACATTTTGTAGCAACTTGAGTGGGGGGTGGTTAGAAAATTGATTGAACAGCCTTCCTCACACAATAATTAAATTAATAATTCTGCATACCCCGAGGAGGCAGCTAAATGATACAATAATATTCAAGTCACATAGAGGACATATAAAGTGGCCATATCTCTAACTTATTTGAATTTTTTCTCTAAATGCAGATAATCCACTTCAGGAATGAACAGATTAGACTTAATTTTATTTCAAGATTTCATTTTAGGTGTGACTATATGCACATGAATATACATTAAAAATAAGCTGTTAGCGGGCATGCATTAGCTGATTGCTTCAGATAATCTGACTAGCCTAGCCAGCATCTCAGTCTGACAGTGTTTCCACAGTGTCTGGCCTGAGTTTTTAATCATCGCAATCTTGTTGCAGTGTTAAGACCTTTTCCCTTCTCGTCTAGTAAAGAATGGTCTGACGTCTAGTCTTATTTTAAAACATGTTGCAAAAGCAGTATCTTCAATTTCATTAATTAACACATCATTGGACATCATCTAGTTGGTATTTACAGTATTTGAGATACTTTGGTAAATAAGAGATACAAGCTTGACCCCTTGGACCCATTAGTTTAAGGTGCTTATCTCTGGGATATTTACTGTTATACCATTAAATGTTATTTTTTGGACCTGTTCCAGTGTTTACTGCTCTTTCCCTATCTGCTGGCTTGATGGGTTAGGGCAAACATGGAAACCACATGAGTAAAAGCTAGAGCCTCCCTCAGCCTGGAGCGCTGAATGGATGTGTGGGGTATACTCTTACCCCCACCCTTGCTGTCAACTGGACTTTGTATAACTGAGAAATAAACTGCTATGATATCAGGCAGTTTGGGGTTAAACTCAGGTTTGGGGTTCACCTGTCATAGCGATTCCTTAATGCAATTCCTTAATGCCATAGCAATTCTACTTTGGGCTACAAATACAAATAGGGAAGTGATCAGACTATGGAAGGACTATGCTCCCTACAGGTAAGCAAGAGAGAAAATAAACAAAGAGTAGAAATAAGTAGATTCAGAGGATCCCAGAGATGGATAATATTGATTATAAAGCTGCAGACATGATTTTATCAGCTCAGGAAGTACAGTAAACTCCCCCAACCCCCATCCATGGTTTTGCCCTCTACAGTTTCATTTGTCTGCAGTCAGCCATGGTCTGGAAGCAGATGATCCTCCTTCTGACACTTTATCAGAGATTAAAATAGGCCTAACCCTACATCATCTCTTGCATCTCATCGCATAGGCATTGTATCATCATGTCATAAAAGAAAAAAAGGTGAGTACAGTACAATAAGCTATTTTGAGAGACAGTGGTCACATTCACACAACTTTTGTATAGCATATTGTTACAATTGTTCTATTTCATTATTAGCAATTGCTCTTAATCTCTTAATTTATAAATTAAATGCCTAAGGTATAAATTAAACTTTATCATAGTTTTTTTTTTTTTTAATGAAAAAACAGTATAGGATTTGGAACTATTTTTCATTTTAGGTATCCACTGGGGGTCTTAAAATGTATCCCCCATAGACAAGGGGGGATTACTCCATAAACTTTCCCATAATGTTTATTTCTTCTTTAAGTTGACCCTAAGAAGAGAGACACAAATATTTATGCAGATGCTTTCCCCTGGTAAATTTTCCTTTTCTCCAAGGAAGCTTGAAGAAAAAGAATCGGCAAGAAATTTTAAATTTAAACTCACAAGAAGTCCTCGAGTAACTCAGAACTCATAAAAATTTAGAATGTTTCAAGGTCAATGAAAAGATCTATTCAAGCATGTGGCTGGAAATTAGGGTGGGAAGCAATTATCAACTTAAGAAGTTCAAATTTAGATTGGGATGCATATAATCATACCTTGATAACTGTAATATTATATTTTTAAATTGCTAAAATATGTATTATCATTTAACTCTAATGTTCTTTAATGGTTATAGTGTATTTAGTTAAAAAATTGTAAGGGGAAGAATTATTTTAATCAGGAATGCAATACTTGATATTACAAGGAAAATCATTTGAATGTATATAATACATAATTTGATGGGAATAAATCAGTGTTTCTTCTAATGGTAAAATTTTAGTTTCAAATGGCCATTTTAATGTATTACTTCTACTGGCTGAGAGAAAACTATTAGAATATTAGGAAAACAGTAGTTACCTGCTAAATTGAAATACATATCGATGTTTCAAAACAGAAAACAAACTACATGAAAATCTCATGTCAAATTCTAGGTATGTATGTAAAGTCCATGGAATGATGTTAGTAAGCTATCAAATGGCAGAAAACATTTGAAGAGAGCACTGCTTCAACCACACATAACAATGGACATTAGAACTATCTGAGTATTAGAGATTATTCATTTTTCTCAATTATACAGAACTTTATTAAAAACCAAATTTTCATTATTGCAGTCAGAAAAATAAGTGAACTAAGATAATACTCAATAAGCATCTGCTTTATGCTCCTTCAAGCAGATTTTTTTCTAGCCCTCTTCTCATTCCCCAGCCACTGAAGTTTGGTCTCATCTATTCTCATGGCTTCAATCACCATCTATATTTTGAGACACAATTTTTCTTCAGATCAGACCATTATATGACTATAAAAGTGCTTACTGGTAGACCAGATATAGCTACTGGGAAGGATTGTAAATATTTTAATTTCAGCAAATTTAAAGTTTCGTTTACTATCTCCACCTGAAATTTCTCATATGGTCTCTCCAGGTCTGTCTTCACGTCCTTATATTGAACTATTTGCCCAAGTCAAATTCCTTGAGCCATCCTTGATTTCTCCATCTCTCTCCATCTGCATATTCAATCAAACCCCATGTCCTGTCACTTCCCCCTTTATCATTACTTGGTCTAAATCTCCTTCTCCTTCAGCAATTATTTCATTAGGGTCTGAACTGTTATCAGTGCCTGGAGTTTTGTCTTGACTGCCATCCAATCCATTCTCCTCAATGAAGAACTAACAGTCTTCTCAAATACGTATCAGGTCATGTCACTGCCTTGATTAAAATCCTTCAGTGATGTTCTCTTTGGATAAATGCCAGATTCCTTTACAGAGATGCCAAGGCCATAATGACTTGACTCAACCTTCCTTTCTAGTTTCCTCTTTTATTAGTCTTTATGATCACTCCTGGTTTATATTTATCTATTAGTATAAGTATTCTAGTTGCACTTATTCATAAATTCTCATTATAATGAACTGATTCTAGTTTCTGAAAAGCACCATTCATGATGTCTTTCACCTCTGGGCTGCTGCAGATGGTGTTTCCCCTTCCTGAAAAGTCCCCACCACCCTTTGCCTGGCTAATCTCTTTCTCATAATTAAGGGTTACTTCTCTCTTTCAGCAGGCATCTTGGACACCTTCTTTTGCCCTAACAAGTTGAGTTGACATTAGGAGAAGGAAAGGAGAAGTCAGTTGGGGGAAATCGGAGGGCGAGATGAATCATGAGAGACTGTGGAGTCTGAGAAACAAACTGAGGGTTTTGGAGGGGAGGGGAGTGGGGAGTTGGGTGAGCCTGGTGGTGGGTATTAAGGAGGGCACGTATTGCATGGAGCACTGTGTGTGGTGCATAAACAATGAATCTTGGAACACTGAAAAAAAAATAAAATAAAATCACAAAAACCCCCAAGTTGAGATGTTCTTTCTTTATCATTCTCTATCATTGCACTTTCCTTCTAATAGACCTCAGTATACCTTGTTTTCATTCATTTCTCTATTAATCTTTTCTACTAGATCATTAGTATTTTGAAGGCAGTGAAGTTGTTTATCTAGTTAACTAGGACTAGCCACCATCCAGCACATTAGATGGCACATACTAGGTTTTCAACACGTAGTTCAAAATTGAATGAATTCTGATATTGGAAGTAGGTTACATAAAAAGAATATTGAACAATATTATTTTACCCATAGTTTTTGATGGAAACAGGGTACCTCATTAGTCAATGATCAAAGCATTTAGAATATTTTAGGGACAACTTTCAAATTGGCTGAGGTCGAATGAGCATCTGGAATAGCATATCCCGCCACTGGGATATTCAACTTTTGTAACAAAATGCCACCTTTACTCCCTAAATGCTTGAATTCTCTTTAGCGGATGGATTTCTTTCAACAGGCAACATGGAAAACCTCCACTTCAAATATCCTATTGGGATTTCAATTATAAATATCTGCCATACAGCTGCTACCAAAAGCATGGCTAATAAGATGGACATTTTCAAACCTTCATTATGTCATCTGGAGCCTGCAAACTTTACTCACATACCACGTTAAAGCTTCAGAAAGTTACCTGGACACACTACATTATTTCAAATCCCCTTACATGTTCTTTTCATAGTTATAAACTTAATCTTCTTCCATTAGCTCTAATAAAGGGGCCATTGAAGGTATAATCAGGTAAAGAATATTATTTCTTGTAAATCCATTATGAATGTGCAAATTGTTCAACAATGAACCATGTGGAGTGTTTCTCCAATATTAAAAGGTTAGAAAAGTTTGTCCTTCCTCACAGTCCACATAAATACTTTATATTCTAAAGTTAAAAAGACAAAAAAGAATGTGCCTTTTTTTTTCTTTGCTTGCCATGCAACTCTGAGCCAGGTTTACTCTAGACTGGTCACTTTCCTCTACATTCAATTTTTTTATTCTAGTTATAACCTGAGTGCATATCATTCTGGTAACACTGATTCTCAAGATTTAAAAACTCAATGAGAAGGAAGGAGAAAGATAAATGTCATTGTGTGGCAAAACTGATACGTACGCAAATATTTAATTCATTCATTTAACAAATATTTATTATGTGCAAGTCTTATTTGAAACTCACAACTATTGTTGAAATTGGAGATAATAATCCACTGTTTACAGAGAGAGAATCTGAATTAGATACAGAGCTGTTAGAAAATTCAAAGCTGCCAGGCCAAGGAAAGAGTAGAGCCGTAATGGCATTCCAGCTTCAAATCATGTCCCTGGATGCTGGGAAAAACTGTGTGAGCAATAGCACAGAGTAGCGCTCCTCCATTACCGTCACACTTAACTATCAATCTCTGCTTTGAGGCTTTTGTTCTCTGTGTCTTTTAAAAACTAAAATTCATTTCAAAACCTTCATGTAATTAAGGTTTACAATAAACCAGATGTACACTTGAAGCCAAAGATGAGGCAATCTGAAAATGTTTAGACATTGTCATCTAACTGCTATAAAAGAACTGCCTTTTCTTTACTATTGAGGGAAAAAATAGCTGAAAATACATTGCACAAAGTACTCATGTGATGAGCTAATGAAATATAAAGTAGTTATCCTGAAATAAAATAAGAGGAAATAAAGTATGATTTCTCACTAACTTATTATAATAGAAAAAAAGAGAGAGGTAGTCAATAAGTGACAAGAGCTGAAAATGCTAGGATGAGAGAAATTGTCTCAAAATTTAAAAAATGACTATTAAACGTGATTATGACATGTCCTCTGTACATATTCAAAAATAGATACTATCTGCTTTCTCTCCTTTATGCTATAAGTTTTAGCTCTTAGAAACACACAATGGAATCATCCAGGATGGAAAGTATTTGAAAAGATTCAATTATTTCATAACTCTCTGCAAATGCAGGTGCATTGAAAAATATTCTAAATTGAAACTGCTCCCAATGCACAATGGTAAAGTAGCATAATGTAAGCAAATTATGCTTTCAATTTCAGATGTCATATTATTCTGGAATTTTAGCTCAGTCTGAATCAAAATTATGAAGACAATTTGAATGAATGTATTTTTCCATCTATTATCCATATGCATCTTACCATAATATTTAGAATATGTAGGTGTTTTTGAAAGAACACTGTCAGAATAATAAGAGGGTTCACACAGATATTATTTTAACATTACATAGATGAGTCCAGAGGATGATGTTTGAACTGTAATGTGTCAAATATGAATGCATCAGGACTGAGTCCTTCATTTACTTATTATCCTTATACAGTTTATACTAATTTTTTCTTAAAAAGATGGGGTCAACAAACCTTTTCTGTAAATCTCCAAATGATAAATATTGTAGGTTTTTTTTTTTTTTTTTGGCCACTTCATCTGTGTCACAGCTGCTCAACCTTGTCCCCGAAGTGGCCCTGGCTACTATGTAATGGTCAGGTTTGGCTGTGACCTCACAACACCATACAAAGACAGCAGAGGGGCTGAATTGAGCCTGAGGTCCATTATCTGCCAACTCCCAACTTCAGAGTTTAAGTTGTTAGATGCTTGGAATCCAAAAAATAAAATTTCTACACGCAGTCAGGTAGATTGAGTCTTTTTAAAAATTGCACTATTATTAGAACATATAATTTAGGGAGTTACCAAAATACTAACTGTCGGAAATAGCGGTGACTTCCTCATTATGATACAACCAGCTGACAGCAGGGGCAGGTGAGCTGCTAACTCGGCAAACCACTTCGGCATCCTCTCCTTGTTTGAATTCTTGAGGAGATACCACTTCTTTGAAAGTGAGTTTTTCTGTTTCAAGAAAGTAAAACAAACCACAAAAGTATTATTTCTCTCTTCTCCCAGTAACATATTCCAAAATCTGATTGATGCGATGATGAAATCATCAGCTAACGCTAGATCTTTTAAAACCTTAGGCCGGGTAAGAATTCCTCTACTAGGGGTGCCTGGGTGGCTCAGTGGGTTAAAGCCTCTGCCTTTGGCTCAAGTCATGATCCCAGGGTCCTGGGATCAAGCTCCACATCAGGCTCTCTGCTCAGCGGAGAGCCTGCTTCCTCCTCCCCACCCGTCTCTCCCTCTCTGCCTGCCTCTCTGCCTACTTGTGATCTCTGTCTGTCAAATAAATAAATAAAATCTTAAAAAAAAAAAAAAAAGAATTCCTCTACTCAAGAACTTCTCATCTCCTTGAGAGGAAAATTCGTAGTCCACATAATGCTGTACGAGGTCCTGTGTGAAGTGGAGTCAGCCCCACAATTCTGATCCTGATTTCTTCTCTCCTTTCCTAGTCCCTGTGATCCAGACAAACTGTCTTCTTTGCAATCCCTTGAATACTCCAGGTTTGTTCCCATCCTCGGGCCTTGTGCTCCTTTGAATTCCTTCAGATTTCCGCTCGACCTTCACAGATAAAATAAACTTCTCTCTTCCCAATTCAACTCTCCCTCTCTTTACCACACTAATTTTCTTCACTATAGAATTCTATAGCATGTCTATCTAGCACCCATGTATTTGTCTAAGTTCATTCATTGTGTTTTTCTGTTTACTAAAATAATAAGCACCAAGTGCCAGTGACATTTTCTTTTTACGGAGCGTCTAGGACTTAGAATATTGCCTGCCATGTAATAGACACTCAATAAGTGTGTCAAATGAATGAAAGAATATGGGTCTTTATGCTTGTTAAAAATTTTCACAAAAGTAATTCATTGTTCTTGCCAGGAAAAAAAAAGTCATTTCTTTAGTTTACAAACAAAATATCAGGCACCTTCCTTTTCATCACTCAAAGTAATGAAAAATCTTTCCAAATACTATGTCTGTGAAATGATCACTTCAATTTATTTTTTTCTATTTATGAAATAGGTACAGTGGGGATCATATAAATAGCTATACCATCTTTTTCTTTAGGAGTTTTGAAACTAACAGGAGTAGGGGCAAAGTCGAAATCAGGAAAAACGTCAGTAATGTGCCAGCAAATTGCACTGGAGAGCAAGGAGGAAGTCATGCTGTGGGAATGCTTTGCCTTCTTTTTTTCGTATCTTGTTTCTACAATAATAGTAGTAATAGTAATAATAATAACACTTTAAGAAAGAGGTACCTTGAGTTAGTATTTTTAAAAATTTTATAATTTTTCAGATATTTTTCATTAATGTAGTAGAAATACTATCACATATTAATTGTAAGGCATTGTTCTAAAAACTTTATATAATATTAAAAATTAATGTAGTGCTTAAAACAGCTTTACGTATGAGGTAGTCAATACTATTAGATCTATTTTATAGATGACAAAACTGAAGACAGAGAGGGTAGACATTTGCTAAAGCCACAAAAGGAAGTGATAGAGCCTGGTTTCAAGCCTAGGGGGTCAACAGGCTTTAATGTGTTCTTAAACAGTTTCATGATTCTTGGGGTACCCCGGTGGTGCAGTTGGTTAAGCATGTGACTCTTGGTTTGGGCTCAGATCATGATCTCAGGGTCATGAGGTTCAATCCTGTGCCAGGTTTCCTGCTCAGCTAAGAGTCTGCTTAAGACTGTCTCTCTTTCTCTGTCTGCCCTTTCCCCTCCTCTAAAATAAGTCAATAACTCTTAAAAAGAAAGAAAGAAAGGTTAATGATTCCTAAATGTAAGAAGGGGGAAAGAATGTAGAAGGCAGTCAATCTCAAGTCATAAGATGAAGTGTAAGCATGGAAAATTTTATTAATAAAAGTTCTGATGGTGAAAAATCCAACTAGATATTATTCTCCACTAGATGAGTTTGCAGTTTTTCTGTATTTACTCCTGTTCACCGACCCTTCCTCCATTCTCATTCTAGACTGGTCACTGCTATCATATATGCAATTTCATTTGTTCTAGTCCTGACCTTTCATTTTAGTGTGAAAAAGTACTCCTTATAAATTTCATAATACTAAATAATGTTCTCTACTCACCCAAAAGATTTTCAATGGTTGGAGAATATTAAATCATTTTCATCTCTGTTATTTAACCAACGGAAATGGCTCCATCTATGTGTTTATAATCTACTATTTCTTATTATCTATTCAATTTTAGAGATACACTATGGTAAAATAGAAATAAGCTGATATTTGTAATGGTCTCAGGATATTGTCTAGCACATAGTTTTTCATGAGTGTCAGTTTTTATTAAATGCATTTTTTTTGCTCACAGCCACATTTTAATCAATTAATAAATGCATGACTTACGGTAAATTTCCAAAACAACTGTAGCTTCTTGTGTCTGTCCTTTGGCATCTGTTGCTTGACAACGATAAATCCCTGCATCCTCTATATTTGCGTTGTAGATGGTTAATCGTGATCTGACACCTTCCTTTTGCACTGCTACCCTCTGTGTTGAAATTATCTTCTCTCCTTGAGGATTATACCAATCTATACTCTCAGGTTCACCAATTGCTGCAAAGATCCACGGACAAGATATGTTTGAAAATCTGTTGCAAGTGTTTATTTTGGCATTGACATTTACTATTATGTGACGACTTTTAACAATTTGGGGAAAAATGTAAATAGGAGAAGGCTGGAAGTCTGAAAATCTTACAAAATTCAAAGTAAACACAAATGTTAGCACACATGTTCATCCTTATTTATCCAATGTTGAGAATTCAGTCCTGTTTGCAAACCCAAAAGTTCTACAGGAAACTGACAGCATGGTATTTAAGCTCTGATAGTTGAAAATCTACTATAGCAATTTATTAATTATTACTACAGTTAACTTATAAAACTGGCTTGGCCACTGAGTCAGACATAAATTAAAAATGTTTGATATATCTGAACAGAAACACGATTACTAACATGATCTCCCCTGTTCCCAGTTCTCTTTGCCAGGGTCAGGAGATAGCACTTTTTTCCCCCAATAAAGCAAAGTTCATAACAATGTAAATCCTATACAAAATAAACCTTGGTTTTTGATAATACTGAATTTATTATTAATTTCCCAAGTTGTTAAACTTGTACAGATAAGGCTAATAACTGTTTTTCAAAATGGAGCCCTAATCTTTTTTCTCAACTGAAATGAACAGTTTCATCATTTTAATCTAAAACTGTTAACTATTTAATCATATGATAATTAGAATGCATTGAAACGATACTTACACTGCTAGGCAATTACAACCAAATCATTACAGGGTAAACATTTATTTAAGTTTTCCAATTCAGAATCCAGGTTAATATACTCTTCGTAAAAGCTGAAGCTTCCAATGTTTGCTTTTACTCACCTGAAGGATGTATTTCACCTAATTCCTTGAGAGATAATTTGTGGAAGCAGTATACACTATTAACTCAAAAGTATCAGGGTAAAATGCATAAAGTTAACATCTGCAGGACCACTTTGAAAAACATTGTTCCATCTTATTTTTTCCCAAAGAAATGGCTTTAGAAACAAATTATTGTGCTTTCCATATCCAATTAGACATGTGTGAGCAAAAAGTATAAAAGATGGTTTAGTTATATCTTAAATGGATCTTAGTTATGTTATCTTCAGTTCTTTCTGGACAGAACCATAAAACCATAGTGGTTATGGGATGACTCATTTGGGGGAGGTATTTGCTTTGATTTCCCTCTCCACAGAGAAGTTCAAATGAATAATTTCAATGAGCAGCACTTTGAATTTGAACAATACAAAATTTCATTTTATACAGCAAATTATATTGAACACTCTGTGAAATATTTTGGCCATTTTCTTACTTAATAATATGATATAAAATTTCATTATCATGGAGAATTTATACCACATTTTTATAGAGCAGTCAGTCATGATTCTCTTTTCATGACATCTCTAGTAAATAATAATCTCCAGTGAAACTTTCCATGTTATTTTATTAAGACTAGACTACTGGAGATACTGATAAATAACATTAAAGTTTTTATTTTCTTAAAAATGTAGTATATAAATTCTTTTGCTATTTATGACACACTCTTATTTAGCCTTCTAAGGGTCTGACCCCCTGACAGTGTAAATTTAAGACATTTATTTTACTGAGTTTAGATGTCTATGTTTTAGTGTATCAAGAAATTTCAGAGTCATAGCAACTTGTTCAGCATTGTAGTAGGAAAAACAGATGAGAACATTCTGATTTGCAGGGGTTTCCCACATCGTTTTTTTTGATTCTTGTTTTACTACTCAGTTTCATATATATATATATATATATATATATATATATATATAT